ATTTGAGTTCAACATGTAAGAAGTAGAAAGTACAGGTATTTGGGTTCAACATGTAAGAAGTAGAAAGTACAGGTATTGTGTTCAACATGTAAGAAGTAGAAAGTATCAGGTATTTGATGTTTCAACATGGTAAGAAGTAAAGAAAGTACAGGTATTTGGGTTCAACATGTAAGAAGTAGAAAGTACAGGTATTTGAGTTCAAACATGTAAGAAGTAGAAAGTACAGGTATTTGAGTTCAACATGTAAGAAGTAGAAAGTACAGGTATTTGAGTTCAACATGTAAGAAGTGAAGTAAAGGTATTAGTGTTCAACATGTACGAAGTGAAGTACAGGTATTTGATGTTCAACATGTAGAAGTAGAAAGTACAGGTATTTGAGTTCAACATGTAGAAGTAGAAAAGTACAGGTATTTGAGTTCAACATTAAGAAGTAGGAAAGTACAGGTATTTGAGTTCAACATGTAAGAAGTAGAAAGTACAGGTATTTGAGTTCAACATGTAAGAAGTAGAAAGTACAGGTTTTTGAGTTCAACATGTAAGAAGTAGAAAGTACAGGTATTTGAGTTCAACATGTAGAAGTAGAAAGTACAGGTATTTGAGTTCAACATGTAAGAAGTAGAAAGTACAGGTATTTGAGTTCAACATGTAAGAAGTAGAAAGTACAGGTATTTGAGTTCAACAGTAGAAGTAGAAAAGTACAGGTATTTGAGGTTCAACATGTATGAAGTAGAAAGTACAGGTATTTGAGTTCAACATGTAAGAAGTAGAAAGTACAGGTATTTGAGTTCAACATGTAAGAAGTAGAAAGTACAGGTATTTGAGTTCAACATGTATGAAGTAGAAAGTACAGGTATTTGAGTTCAACATGTGAGAAGTAGAAAGTACAGGTATTTGTGTTCAACATGTAGAAGTAGAAAGTACAGGTATTTGAGGTTCAACATGTAAGAAGTAGAAGTACAGGTATTTGAGTTCAACATGTAAGAGAAGTAGAAAGTAACAGGTATTTGTGTTCAACATGTGAAGAAGTAGAAGTACAGGTATTTGGGTTCAACATGTAGAAGTAGAAAGTACAGGTATTTGTGTTCAACATGTAAGAAGTAGAAAGTACAAGTATTTGTGTTCAACATGTAAGAAGTAGAAAGTACAGGTATTTGTGTTCAACATGTAAGAAGTAGAAAGTACAGGTATTTAGGTTCAACATGTAAGAAGTAGAAAGTACAAGTATTTGTGTTCAACATGTAAGAAGTAGAAAGTACAGGTATTTGTGTTCAACATGTAAGAAGTAGACAGTACAGGTATTTGTGTTCAACATGTAAGAAGTAGAAAGTACAAGTATTTGTGTTCAACATGTAAGAAGTAGAAAGTACAGGTATTTGTGTTCAACATGTAAGAAGTAGAAAGTACAGGTATTTGAGTTCAACATGTAAGAAGTAGAAAGTACAAGTATTTGTGTTCAACATGTAAGAAGTAGAAAGTACAGGTATTTGAGTTCAACATGTAAGAAGTAGAAAGTACAGGTATTTGGGTTCAACATGTAAGAAGTCAAAGTAAAAAGTCGTCAGAAAAATAAGTAGTGGAGTAAAGTACCGATACCAGAAAAATGTATTAAAGTACAGTAACGAAGTATTTGTACTCCACTACTTCCCACCTCTGTTTACAAAAATGAAAGACATTAAGAGTATTAGGAAATAGAGCAGCAGAAACACATTATAAACATTAAAAAGCAAAGATAATAAATTGCGCAGTAATCAGCAGCGAACCGCTTCCACACGTGTATTTCGGTGTATTCACGGCATTATTTTTGTTTTTCTACAGTATTGTTGTTTTATAGTTATTTGTTGATGTAACCCAATTTGTGTTCTTTGAAATGGAAAAGGATATCACATTGTGTTTGTTACTTTCGTTGCAGTTGTTTATGTCTTAAGTGTAATTTGGCTTGGCTTCCTATTTTGTATGGTCATGCTTTTATTTTGAAGGAGAGGTAGCGCAGTTGACAGGAAGTTGTTGTTGCTATGGAAACAACGTAACGGAGATTAATGGAGAAAAAGTAATTTCTACATATAAAGACGGAGAAAGTAAACGATAACGTTTATGGTTAAGTGTTAGCACCCCCTGAAGAGGCACAAGCTCTTACGTTGATATTGGAGATTTCAATAAATAAAAATACGAATATCCGAATAACGAAATTGAAACCCGAATAGTACTCCAACGAACGATTATTCGAATATTCGGGTACAGCCCTACAGACAACACATGTCCCTGTTTTACTCACAAACCCATCTTTGACCTTTAAACCACTTCTCTTTTCAACTGCCAGAATTAGGATATGTAAACCTTATGGAGATGAGGTCTAAGTGCTGTTTAATCCACCTTATGACATGACTCCTACACTTTGCTATAACATGACATTAAAGGACTTTGTTTCAGAACAACTACAGTATAATGTCTCTTCTTGAACCAGCAGCTTCAAAATATCTATTGATGTCTAATTTCAAATGCTTTTTAGACCCTCATTTCAAGGCTCTTTGCTTGGTGCATTATGGAGAAAGCTTAATATCATAACCCTGAGTTAAATGATCCTTGAATTTACTGTAATGCTTTAAGGTCCAGTCTGATAACGGGTGCAGAGTTAGAGTTTTTTTAATAGATATAACCCTGAACGCCCTCCATGATAATTACATTTGAACACCTTCACGTTATCAGTTTGTCTTCAGGATTGTCTATATGGTAACTTTATTATGTTGTGTTGATCTGTACACACTGTAAAGCCTCGAGAACAATAAATATTGAATTAAATATACCAGAGAAAACAATATTGCATTGTATTATTTATGTCACATATTACAGGCCTTATGGACGTTCCTGTTGTTGCTCTATGTATTTATATGTGTACATGTAGAATTAAAGACCGTGTATCACTACCTTGTTATTATAGATAGAATAGAATCTGAGTCACACATGTAGAGCACACACAGTGACAACTGTTCTCTGCTTTTAACCCATCCTAGTACCAGGAGTCTAGTACCAGGACTCCTGGTCTAGTACCAGGACTCCTGGTCTAGGACCAGGAGTCTAGTAACAGGAGTCTAGTAACAGGAGTCTAGCACCAGGAGTCTAGTAACAGGAGTCTAGTAACAGGAGTCTAGTACCAGGAGTCTAGCACCAGGAGTCTAGTACCAGGAGTCTGGTACCAGGAGTCTAGCACCAGGAGTCTAGCACCAGGAGTCTAGTACTAGGAGTCTAGTAACAGGAGTCTAGTAACAGGAGTCTAGCACCAGGAGTCTAGTAACAGGAGTCTAGCACCAGGAGTCTGGTACCAGGAGTCTGGTACCAGGAGTCTGGTACCAGGAGTCTAGTACCAGGAGTCTAGTACCAGGAGTCTAGCCCCAGGAGTCTAGCACCAGGAGTCTAGCACCAGGAGTCTAGAACTAGGAGTCTAGTACCAGGAGTCTAGAACTAGGAGTCTAGTACCAGGAGTCTAGTACCAGGAGTCTAGCGCCAGGAGTCTAGTACCAGGAGTCTAGCACCAGGAGTCTAGTACCAGGAGTCTAGAACTAGGAGTCTAGCACCAGGAGTCTAGAACTAGGAGTCTAGTACCAGGAGTCTAGTACCAGGAGTCTAGTACCAGGAGTCTAGCACCAGGAGTCTAGTACCAGGAGTCTTCAGGATTGTCTACGTTGTAAAGTTATTATGTTTGGTTCATCTGTACAGACTTGGAATTTGATATATCAGAGAAAACCTGAAGCTAAATCCATCTCTTTGTATTGCATTGTAATATTTATGTCACATATTACAGGCCTTATGGACTTTCCTGTTGTTCCTATATGTATTTATACGTGTAAATGTAGAATAAAACCTGTGTATAAGTACCTTCTCCTGAGCTTTAGTCCAGGCAGCCACTGGATCTGACTCAAATCCTTTCTGCACCAGCATGCGGATCAGCTCTCGCTTGCTTTTATTCTCTATTAAAAGACAAATAAAACACATGTTAGACAGTATTAAACCACTCGCTGTTACACAAAGAGATCAGGGTTTCCAGCATTCATACTGTTAGGAAAATCCTGAAAGTCCCTTTCCAATATGAGAGTAACATGATAACAAAGCTATCCCAACTGTAGCTGTGAACATGACAGGATGTGTGATTACCTGGAAGAGCATCAGGACTGTTTGAGGCAGATGATAGCTATGTGATTAACATGATGATTCAGCCTCTATGGAGATAGACATCAAGCATGCTCATTTCTGACGTGGAGCTAATCTGAAGTAAACATTGAATACTGCTTTCTATTCCTCCATCTTGTGACTGTGTAACTCCCTCTCTTGGATATCAGCATGTGAAGGACACTGCTCAGGAACTAGTTGATGCTCTGTATGTGATGACTCCTTCCATTCTGGAGAGGATCACAGATACATCCTGAGGCTGAAGCTCAAGCCGGGGAACAGGGAGATTCTTCTAACACATACCGATGGTGATTTTCCCCTCGATCTTCTCCAGGACGAAGCGAGCCTGATTGGACAGTTTCGAGGCTTCGGCTCCCAGACTTCCCAGCAGCCAATCCTTCCTCAGTTTGTAATATTGGAGACGCAGGTCGAAGAATTCTTTGAGGATATCTTGAACCGAGTCGTAACGCTTCATACAGCCCATGTGGTCAAAAAGCACCTGAAGAAGGGGGGGAGGAAGTGGTTTAGGGTTATGTGTGCTCTTCTATTGGTCTGAGATGAATGTATCTGATTCGTTGGTACACCAGAAATAAAGGCGTTTTAAAAATCTAGTTTGAAAAGCACATCTGCTTCAGTCCCTCTGTGTTGCTCAGACAGAGAAATGGCTGTGAGTCAGATCTCAATCCTCGATAAACAACTTAAAGGGTAAGGGTAAACCGTATGTAATTTTGTCTTAATGTACATTATTTAATTTCATATTCTGTTCTTGGTCCCCGTCAGGTGTTATATGGAGTTAAATCTCTCTTTACCATGGAGTTGCAGGTGAGAGTTGACTGCAGCTTGAAGACTTTGTGCAGCCCGACGGACTCGGCCTGAGCCAGCTTCTCCTCCGACATCCGGACCACGAACTTCACCGTCTGGTCCGTGTGATATTCCTTATAGTCGTTGATGAGAGCCGGAGTTTTATCTGTTCCCTGCAGCATGGGCTCCAGAACGGACTCCTTATACGACTAAACACAACAGGGGAGAGAGATGGTTAAAGTACACACTTCCTTTACTCAAGTAGAAGTACAGATACTCGTGTTTAAAAATACTCTGGTAGAAGTAGAAGTACTGACATCCTTTACTCAAGTAGAAGTACACACGTCCTTTACTCAAGTAGAAGTACACACCTCCTTTACTCAAGTAGAAGTACACACATCCTTTACTCAAGTAGAAGTACACACATCCTTTACTCAAGTAGAAGTACACACATCCTTTACTCAAGTAGAAGTACACATGTCCTTTACTCAAGTAGAAGTACACACCTCCTTTACTCAAGTAGAAGTACAGACATCCTTTACTCAAGTAGAAGTACACACATCCTTTACTCAAGTAGAAGTACACACATCCTTTACTCAAATAGAAGTACACACATCCTTCACTCAAGTAGAAGTACACACATCCTTCACTCAAGTAGAAGTACAGACATCCTTTACTCAAGTAGAAGTACACACATCCTTTACTCAAGTAGAAGTACACACATCCTTCACTCAAGTAGAAGTACAGACATCCTTTACTCAAGTAGAAGTACACACATCCTTTACTCAAGTAGAAGTACACACATCCTTTACTCAAGTAGAAGTACTCACATCCTTTACTCAAGTAGAAGTACACACCTCCTTTACTCAAGTAGAAGTACACACATCCTTTACTCAAGTAGAAAATGGTGAAAGTAGAAGTACTGACTAAACTTCTTTACTTAAGTCAAAGTAAAGAGGCTTTGAAATGTACTTCAGTAAAAAGTACCCATAACTAGCAGCTGTTTTAAAGAGTACCTGACCTCCCTTTATATTAATAGAACAATAATGTCATTGTTAGCTAATGAATTACGTGTACTGAAGTACAGTAACGAAGTATTTGTACTCCACTACGTCTAAAGATAACTTTAGGTTGTACCTGAGTCCAGGTGCGCACGGGAAGCTCTGTGATCTCGATGGTGGTTCTGTCGAGCACCGACACCTCTCCACTCATCAGGTACTGGTTCTGACCCAGCTCATGGATCACTCCTTTGAAGTTCTTGTACCTGGGAAGCTGTGAGGAGACAGATAACATTCAATAACACGGAAACACTGAGAAAAGTCTCCTGATGCACTCGGAAGACAATGTGATTCAACAAGAGTAGATTCAGACTCCTCATCCTCTCTCTTCCTGGAGGGAGTGCACACTTAAGACTCAACGAGCAAAGCGTGTGAGGATATCACATATTGAAAGTCAATGAGGAGAAAAAACTAGAATTGAACGTATTTAACTTGAGCCACGTGAGGCAATTCCAAATGTTATATACCAGTCATTTGACTTCTAGACCTTCGTAACCCTTGCTTATATTTTCTTTCTCAATTCTCTTATTTTTGAGGCAATACCTCCTTAACAAAAACAGATGTGATGCCTCAATCTTTACCCACTTTAACCTGCAATCTGACCTTCTATTTGACTTGTGTTGGTTTGTAAATAACCCCCAGTGTTTTCTTGTGGGATCTGTCTCTTAACCTGCCTCCTAATTGACTCTTTTCTTCACTACCGGTGCATATATTCATATTTTTGACCGGATTATAAATGGTTGTTATCAATTCAACAACAAAACTGGTCAACTATGTGCAATATATAAATGCCGTTAATAACTGTGTAATATATACCTGGCTGCTAAATCCTAAGAACTGTTACAGGATGTGTATTTTTTTAAATTATGTAACTTTTTATTTTTTATTATATCATAACTTAGTACTTGTTTTAATGCATGTCACATGTAAGAGCCATTTAGGCACATTCTTTTATGGTAATGAATTATGGTTTTGTGAGCCAATTGAATATTCTTTCATTTAACTTAAATGAGCTGAATAACTATGAATTATTATTATACTGTTTTGTAACGTGTCATCTTGCTTATGGACTGCTCTAGTTTACGTTTTGTTATTATTTATATAAAGCAATCGTAGGGGCGTGCTCAGGTATAAATGACGCTGCCAGCATGACACAGCAGGAAGTCTAGAGAGGAAGTTGGAACAACGCACACATCCGTATGACCGAGGGATCTTGTTTGTTTATTTGTTTAAATACCGTGCCGGCAGTGGGCCGCCAGCTGATCTATTGAACCTCTCAATAAAGCACCTGAATGGAACGAGCAAGGTATCTGATTTTTTGAATATACGCGAGTCAATACTCGAGCTCGCCTCCTAGACTAAGTGGCCTTTGAACATTAATTTTCTTTGGACAATTGGCCACTACATCACATATTTAACATATGTAACATTAAGCTGTCTGTGGCTCTTTTTCCTGCTGTAACTACACACATTTCCCCTCCGTGAGACTAATAAAGGTATTCTGATTCTGATTATATTATATATTAACGTACAGAAATCCAGTGCGACATCTCCCTCAGAGATAATAAGGACTCACCTCAGTGAGACGGCATTTATTAATCTTTTAGGTCGTTTTTTGGCCCGTCTAGTGAAGCACAACTAGATAAATCAAGATACTGCTATATAATCAAAAGTTATATAGCAGGATCTTTACTTCTAGACCTTCATAACCCTTGCTCATATTCTGCGTATCACAGCCAATCATTAATCCTATTTTTGAGGCAATACCTCCTTCACAAAATCAGATGTGATGCCTCAATCTTTACCCACTTTAACCTGCAATCTGACCTTTCATTTGACTTGTATTGGTTTGTAAAAAACCTCCAGTGTTTTCTTGTGGGATCTGTCTCTTAAACTGCCTCCTAATTTACTATGTTTTTACACAACCTGTGCATATATTCACCTTTTGACAGGATCACAAAGATGTACAGGTCTTCCTCAATGCTCGAACCCAACCAGAGATAATAAGGACAAATCCTTCTCAGTAACACAGCATTAAATAATCTTATAGGTCGTTTTTCGGCCAGTCTAGTGAAGCATAACAACTAGATAAATTGCAATCAGTTATTTGAATCAATTGCGTATTTAATTAGAATAACGTAAGGCAATTGCAAAAGTTATATAGCAGTATTTTTACTCCTAGACCTTCATAACCCTTGCTCATATAGGCAATACCTCCTTTACAACATCAGATTTTGGCCACAAATCCTCCTCAGTGAGACGGCATGTATTAATCTTTTAGGTCGTTTTTTGGCCCGTCTAGTGAAGCACAGCTGGATAAATCCATTTCCATCAGTTATTTGAACTCCCGCTCACCATGGGCAGGGGGTCCTGGTGTTTGAGCAGCCGGTAGATGTTGTTGACGATCTCTCGGGGGTCGTAGTTGGGGAGTTTGCAGGCCCACCCGGTGCCGATGCCCTCGGCCCCGTTCACCAGCACCATGGGGATGATGGGGATGTACCACTCCGGCTCCACCTTCTGGTTATCATCGTACAGGAACTTCAGCAGGTTGGAGTCTCCGGACGGGAACAGCAGCTTTGCCAGAGGACTGAGGGGAGGGAGAGCAACGTTAGGAGAACTATAGACATTCATCTGGACTTTGAGAGGTCTAGGTTTTAGATACTAGGGATGCCCACATTTCCGATATTACATTATGGACGCAGCAAACCCCCGTTTTTAGAGGTGTGGGTACTTTGTGAGTCTCCTGACACACATTCATGTATAAAAGACATTTTGCAGGATAGGAGACCTTTAATACAAATGTATCTGGACTTTAAAGGTCTTATTAAAGGTTTTTAGATACTAGGGATGCACATTTTTGTATGATGATAATTAAATGAACGTGGTTGACGTTCCTAATATTAAGATGTAGTCTTGTATGAACAGTATGATTGTATTCTATTAGTCTAACACTGAGCTTTTTCTTTATTACGCAACAAATACACTGAATTCTGGAAAAGAAGAAACTTATTTTGAGACTTGTTTTTAAAACCGAAGCTTTAAGGGGAAGTCAAGAGGAATTACGGATTTTAAGGGATTGTAAATCAACACTTTTTTAATAGAAACAAGGGTTTTTTGGCCCGAGATTAAGTACAATTCTGTGACAATAACAAATATATATATATTTGAATTAGCTGGAATGTAGCACAACAGGGAAGTGAAAGCAAGCGGGAAAAGCGTCGTTATCCTTTTGCGCCATAATCGTGCAGCCCTTATTTACACCAGGCAGTGTAAATGGCCGTCCGAGGCCGTGGCGCATTTCCATTACAGTTTAGGACCTGGGGTAGTTACTATAGCAACGCAGTGTAGGCAGGGACATTTCGAGTTGTTCCGTCGAGCTCCCGCTGGATTGTATCATCCCCAATGAGATGTAGGAACGTCGTCACCTCCTCGGTCGACCACGGTGTGCTTTTCTTTGACGTTGCCATTTTTGTAGCTCCTCCGTTTACAAAAATGCTGCAAGCTTGCTTCTAGATATATGCAACGCTAGGGATGATCTCGCGCACGATCTTGTGACGATTCTCTCTGACGATTCTCTCTGACCAATCAGCAGTCGAGAGTGTTGACGTCACTAGTTCAGCCCTGGTCCTGATAGAACCACGATTTTATGGGGTCGGAAAAAGAGGGAAAAGTACCCGCTAGCCGGTGCTGCGCTATATGGAAAGGCCACCAAAAACTGGCCTGGCCGCTTGAGGACGGTTAAGCGAGGCTACCCGCTGCAGTGGAAATGCGCCATTATTCTGTTAAATATTCTGCAATTTGATGTTTAGAAAAGGCAAGAATAAATAGATTTCAAATGTAAAGGGCGTGCATATCATGGTATCATCATCTACGATACGATGACACTTGAACGGTCAGATGAAGTCTGAAATGCTCCTTGCATCACAGCAGCTCCATGTGTAACACCAACAGACAAACATCAAGACACATGAGAAACAAACATTTAACATAACGGCAGGATCAGTGAGAGAGAAGACCTTCAGCGTGCATCTGATCTGAAGCTCTGCGCTCACTGAGAGGATGGACTGGAGCACAAAGGATGCTTCAGTCTGACTTAATTGAATCGTGGGACCCTGTATCTCTGGCAGTAACTAAAGCACCCAGGTGTGAAGTGTCCTGTGTTTACCTGAGCATGGTGAAGATGTATCGAGGGCTGGCAGCATCTTTTCCTCCGTTGATGCGAGTACCGAACTGACCGAGCGGCTGCAGGATGTTCACGTTGTTGCTGCCAACGAAGTTCTGAGCCAAGTTCACGATGGTCATCATCAGAGCTTGCTGCAGGACAAAGGGGGGGGGGTCAGTGAGAGGGAATCAAAATAGAGTCTCTGACATACCTGTTGGGGAATCATTTGCTTAGGTATTGCTGCTATCTCTCTTAAGGAGGAGCAGCTTGGGATCGTTGTTGTTGTTTATGAACGAGCACAAGCTGCCATGAGGTAGTTTATTGTTGTTGTGTCATAGAAGCTTCGAAAGAAGAACAAAGCGAGTCGAGTCCAAACTGAACGTTATTACTTTATATTAATATAACAGTTTCCAACAAGAACGGTAGAAGACGGGGAAATGCACTCGACATACTTGTGTTCATTCCAATCATAACTGGAACGAGAGGACACATACTTGCACTTCAAAATATAAGCATTTCCTGCCAAACATTTCTCCCTTAACTTTTGTGAAGAAGCAAATAAACAAATGTTTTTACCGTCTTAAATAAAGGAAGTTACAACAATTGTTCAGGGGCATCTAGAGGCGACAGCTCTTGTTAGATTCAGGGTCCATATGTGTTTAGTCTCGCTGATGAGGAATGATGATTATTACACTCTGAACTAGTTAAAACATTGAACTGCAGAAGAGATCTTCAGAATTAACTCCATAATAAACCGTCAGTGTTCGCCATCAAATGGAGTTTAATGCTTTGGGATTTAAGTTAGGCCACATAGTACGTGCATGGGTTTGAAAGTATAACGTGCTAGCCTGCTGTAATACATCGTATAGTCAGCACACATTTATGAGAGATTTAACAATGGCCAATGATATTTCTTAAATAATATGTAGCCTATTCCCAGAGCATAATTCATGGGGCAACAAGGTGAGGTGTAAAATGTGTTTTAATATCATAAATGTTACGCCAGCAAACTTCTTGTACGAACTTCGGCAGTAGTGAAGACTCACTGAACGAATTAAGTACAAAGACGAATCGTTCGCGAACGTGCAAATCACCAGAAGTCGTTCGCGAACCGGTGAACGAATCAGTGAACGAATCTTTCAAGTGAACTGAATCAAAAGATTCGTGTCCCCGAAGAGAATCGGAATTCCCATCACTAGCTCTGAGTGCTAAGAGCTAACGGTTTATGTTGGTTTTGTGGTTCGCATTGAAGATGACGTCACGGCTCCGCCTACACTGCGTTACTATAGTTACTGCCCCAGTTCCTAAACTGTAATGGAAACGCAGCATGAAGTGAGCCGGGCCTAACGAGGCCTAACTGTACCGTACTAAGCCGTGCGAGCTCTCTGTATCTTGTGTGTAGAAGACAGAGATGTGACCGTACCTCTCCATGATGGTAGGCAGACATTTCAGCCACAGATCCGGCCAGCTGAGCCACTTTCACTTCCCTCTTATCATTCCTCTTCATGCAGGTGAACAGCACCTTCCTCTGGCCCGGCTTCAGACCTGAAAACAACACACACACACACACACACACATTTATTACCATTCTCCCCAAATTAGAGGCGATTAGAGGAACATTTCAAGACGTCACCCTTATGCCTCCTATGGGACCTTTTCTGCTCTTTGTTTGCAACTGCATAAATTGCGTTTAACGTGTGTTTTTATTTTTATTTTTGGAAGCTTTGGAACCTCAGCTCCTATAATGAAGAAAGAGCGTATGGAAAATACACATGTCAGAGCCTTAACCTGTTGAGCCGGAGCCTGTTTTTCAGGCGTCAGGCTCGAAAATGACATCCCCAGAACAAATGACCATCTCTTCTAAAAGGGGTAAATTAATAATCTTTTTTCTCAAAGCAATGATAAACCTGTGAGCTGGATGTAGAAGAGTCAGAATCAATATATATATTATTTATTTTAGTCAATTCAGATTGAACACAGTAAAAAAATGTAAATGATAGTGTCCGTCCAAAATAAAAACATGACTTATAGTGAAAACTAACCTTGAGTGATGGGATGGTCGACTAAAAGCTTTAGGAATCCAAACTACAACATATAATAAGTACCCTGTATCAAGATTGATGTAAAACAAGTTAAATTTGAGCTTTTTAGAGAGATTTAGCAAAAAAAACACTTCTGGGGTCATTTGGGTGGATTTTCCATTTCTCTGGAACCCATCAGTTGATTTTGATGATTGACACCTCTTTCTAACCGTTAGAGCCAATAGAATTGAGGGGAAGTTCCTAAAATCCATCTAAACATTTCCCATTGGTGAATGAGTGATGCGCAGCCAGAATGCCCCGGAACCGGAAGCTGTCATACACTCTGGTAGCTATCGTAGCAGCTAATATGAAATCTCCGTTATTGACATAAATATGAAGATGGATTATCAGAAATCATTTCAAAGTGACACAGACACATTGGATTAACCTTCAGCTGCGTTTTATCGTTTTAATGCCATTGAATGTATGTAGCACAACAGGGAAGTGAGACAAGGGAAGAAAGCCAAAAGGATGAAAGCGTGTTTCCCCTTTTGGCTTTAATCGTGCAGCCCTTTTTTACACCGGGCACTTTATGTGAACAAACTGGCATTTTTAGGTGTAAATAAGTGAAAAGATATCATTTTGTGTCCCTTTTTCTGAACTCTAATGACATGAGAGCAGTGTTTAAAGCCATGCAGGGTGTCTACATGAAAGTGAGATGTACGAACCGTCCACCAGCGACGGGATGGACCGCTCGTTGTCAGAGTTGGAGAAAAGGATCAGCTCTTTGTTGATGAAGTCGTTGTAGGAGAGGTGTCGCGCCTGAGTCCCATACAGGTATTGCTGAGAAAAAACACATCAAAAACACACATTTTACACACACTGTTTCATCAGAGTGCTTTGAAACCAAACCATCTTCCCACTGGTACATCCAAGACATGGTTAAACAGTACACCCCAGCGCGTGCACTACGCTCTGCATCAGCCAAACGACTCGCTGCGCCCTCGCTGCGAGGGGGACCCAAGTTCCCATCGGCGAAAACACGTGGGTTTGCTATCCTGGCTCCAAGATGGTGGAATGAGCTCCCCATTGACATCAGGACAGCAGATAGCTTACACATCTTCCAGACTGAAAACTCATCTCTTTCGACTCCACTTCGAGCGATAGAACTATTAACAAAGCACTTATATACTAATAAAGGACTGGATTATCTAAAGCCAGTTGAGTAGCACTTGAAATGTTTGGCTCTATGAAACCTGATGTACTTTATGATTCTGTTTTCTTCAAGGTTGTGTCTTCCTGGTCGAATGTACTTATTGTAAGTCGCTTTGGATAAAAGCGTCAGCTAAATGCAATGTAATGGGCTCATAAAAACAGTTTGCAGATGCCTTCTCCTGAGTATACGAGAGTTTAAAGCAGAATATGAGAGTTTAATTAAGACACTACGTTAAAACAACAAAAAAGCACCAGATCAACTTCAACCAATCGGTATCTTCTCCAGCTCTCGCTTTTTTCAAATTCAAGACTTTTCTTTTGCCCGCTGCATTTAATAACTCAAATGACTTGATGTCCAACACTGCAATCTCACTTTTATCCCTGTCTTCGTCTCTATTTTCTTGAATATAATTGACTGTTTATTAAGGTATTAAAATGCTGTCTTGTGTTTCTGTTGGACTTACGGCCCGTCCACACACAGGCATGAAAAAAATCTTTCAAAGCTTCGCCCACTCATTTGAATGGGGTGACGTAGAAGATTTTGAATCTTCGCCGAAGTGCATTGTGGGGAGCGGAGCATGGCTTTGCAAGCATCGTGAGCATCAAAAGTTGAGCAATGTTCAACTTTTGATGCTCCCGATGCTTTCGAAGCTGGCATCAGCCAATCAAATCCCGTTTATGCAAATCCCGCCAGTACAAGCGCTAGCCAATCAAACCGCGTGCAAGCTGGGAGAGCCAGACCGCAGTTCATTTCCTCATATTCCAAACGAGAAATTACGGTAGCAAATCACCCGGTTCTTTACGACCAGAACTATTTACCAGGATACAAACCGGAGGAAGCAGGCATGGAGGGAGGTGGCAGAGACAGTGGAGGAGCCAGGCATGGAGGGAGGTGGCAGAGACAGTGGAGGAACCAGGCATGGAGGGAGGTGGCAGAGACAGTGGAGGAGCCAGGCATGGAGGGAGGTGGCAGAACATGGAGGAGCAGGCTGAGGGAGGTGCAGAGACAGTGGAGGAACCAGGCATGGAGGGAGGTGGCAGAGACAGTGGAGGAAGCAGGCATGGAGGGAGGTGGCAGAGACAGTGGAGAGCCAGGCATGGAGGGAGGAGGCAGAGACAGTGGAGGAACCAGCATGGAGGAGGTGGCAGAGACAGTGGAGGAACCAGGCATGGAGGGAGGTGGCAGAGACAGTGGAGGAAGCCAGGCATGGAGGGAGGTGGCAGAGACAGTGGAGGAACCAGGCATGGAGGGAGGAGGCAGAGACAGTGGAGGAGCGAGGCATGGAGGGAGGTGGCAGAGACAGTGGAGGAGCCAGGCATGGAGGGAGGTGGCAGAGACAGTGGAGGAGCCAGGCATGGAGGGAGGTGGCAGAGACAGTGGAGGAGCCAGGCATGGAGGGAGGTGGCAGAGACAGTGGAGGAGCCAGGCATGGAGGGAGGTGGCAGAGACAGTGGAGGAGCCAGGCATGGAGGGAGGTGGCAGAGACAGTGGAGGAGCCAGGCATGGAGGGAGGTGGCAGAGACAGTGGAGGAGCCAGGCATGGAGGGAGGTGGCAGAGACAGTGGAGGAGCCAGGCATGGGGGGGGCGGGAGATTCATGTGATTGGTTGTTGGTCGCGTTGCTCGCAAAAAATCGCCAAGCTTCAGACACGCCCAGCATCAAGATTTTTGAAGATGTTTGTCATGCCGGTGTGTGGACGGGCCGTCAGTCAGGATGCTTTTAAGGTTTTTTGAAGCACCTTGTCGTTGAAATCGGCTCGATAAACAAACGTGTCACATATTGTATTGCTGTACAGCCTTATAAGAGACACTTTGCTCCAAAGCAGTCCATAACGTTATGTCCCTTGAGCCTCAGGGAATCTCAGAGCTTATCTGCTCCTCAAAACTGTATGCGTAGTTGAACTCTGACCTGACACGATATTGTATTGATTTTCTGTCTCCTCGATCTTTAAATAATCACAGGTTCAATGACCTTTCTCTGCTCATACCCTACGAGAGCGCTGTTGGTCATAGGTATGTCTGCTCTTGGAAACTAAATTGATACTCACTAGTGTGGCTTGAAACACATGTTAATATAAAACAGCTTCTACAAAACCATCTTCCCACTGGTTGACTTTGATCACTGACCTCTGGCAGGCCGTGCATCCTCCTCTGTCGTCGGTCCTCCATGAAGTTTGTGAGCCACTCCTTCCTGTCGTCCGTCTTCTTCTTACTGAACGCCTGCAGCAACACACAGCACGACATTTAACACATCACTTTTAACCAATTTAGGATAAAGTATAAAGGTAGCAAATGCTCGTTTATATTCGTTAACTTGAACTAGGTCTCAGAAAGATGCCCAAGCCTAAACATACTTATAATAGTTTGACAAACATACATGTATGGCCGTGTTTCTCAAACTTTTTCATACCAAGGACCACTTAGCCCAGAGGTTCCCAAACTTTTTCAGTCGGGCCCCCCTTGGGTATTAAATAAGATCCCCCAACCCGGTTCCATCTATATTGGTAGGATTAATTGTTGTAAAAACATTACATTTTCTCTGCTAATAATAAGAAGATACAAAGATCCAACTATAATTATATTTTATTATGGATTACACATGAACTAAAGTGCTTGTAATACTGTGAATTAATTTAGCCTAATTAAAACTAGCAGGCCTTCTTCCCAGAGTAGTAGATTTTTAAATTCAAATTTCTTTAAAGGAAAATATATGAATGAACTTCTATTTCTACTGCAGGTTGCAAACGATCACATCACTTGACCATTCCTATTCCACACTAGCCTATCAATGACTTGTGTGTGCTTGCTGTCCCTCGCAGATCTTCTCAAAGCGGGGCTGTTGTTTTGAGACTGCCTCTCAGTGCATTCTCAATGTTCAGCTTTGATCTGTATTTCGTTTTGATGGCAGCAAGAAAAGCCGATCTCACACAAGTAGGATGTTGCAAAAGGCAGCATTCTGCCCACAGCTCTCTGACCAATGAGATATTTTCGAGCAGTGTTTGTTTACAATTGAATAATAATAATAATAACAATACATTTGATTTATATAGGTGCACTTTAAAAACAAAGTCATCTCAAAGCTAAAAGGAGAAATTAATAAAATAAAAAAATCTTCCCGCGACCCCCCTGCAGTACCTCCGTGACCCACCAGGGGTTTGAAAACCACTGACTTAGCCAATTGTTACGTGCCGTAGTGGGTGCTGAGGTGTGCTTGTGTGCTTGTGTGTGTGTGCTTGTGTGTGTGTGCTTGTGTGTGTGTGTCTCTCTCCCTCTCCCCCTGACCGTCTCCCTCAGGTGCTCCAATCCCCAATCAGGGCCTCCATAAGGGAGCTGAGGAAGGCTGCAGTCGCTCTCTTCCTTCTCGTCTGGCTGCATGTGTGACATGTGCAGCATGTGTCGTGTCTTTGTAAACTGTGCTATTTATTCACTTTCTTTCAGAAGAAAGTCGTTCTTAGTTTTCTTTGCAAATTGGCTGGTGAGCCTTTCTTTCTTTTTTCAATTAAAAGACCGTCTTGTGGTTATTTTATATTTTGTGTCACTTCCCTTTGGTACCCCTAGTCCAGTTACGTAACACCAATACAAAAAACACTCACCAGTGGCGAGCCGTCAGGGCCCTCTAATATGTTTTTAGTTATATTTTTCATTAGTTTTACCAAAATAACTTTTAATTGTATTTGAAATAACATTTCCAAATAAATAAATCCTTCGAATCTGCCTATTCAGTTTCTGTTAGAATGTGAAGGGTTAAATGAAAGAAGCTCGTCTCTGCGGTGAAGCTAGGAGCTGATTGGACGTCCAGCTGTGAACTCACAGAGGGTTGCTATAGTAACTGAAGAGAGAGTAAAGTCAAATGACAGTACAATTGACCAATCATATCTTCCCTCTAAATGGGTGGGTTTTATTATCGCGGACTTTATGACAAGTTCCGCCCGCTGTGAAGCTTCTCTTGTTTCCATAGCAACAACAACTTCCGGTCAACAGCGTAAACTCGCCTTCAAAATAAAAGCATGCCAAATTACACACAACTGCAACGAAAGTAACAAACACAACGCAACATCCTTTTCAATTTCAAAGAACACAAATTGGGTTATTTACAGGTGTTGTTCTGTGTGGTAGAGGGTCGCTGTCATTGATGCGTTTTGCACCCCGGGCCGTTGTTTTGATATTCCGCTGAAGTATACGCTGTGATGTAATAACTCACACCTCTTTTCGAGGGAAGGCGGGGGGGTCAGAGGGTCTAGGTATAAAAGTCACGGCTCGCACCTCATGGAGCACCTAACTGCCCAAATATCCAGAAACAAAAAGGATTGCTTACTAATCCAACAGTATATAATAAAACACAGCCTGATAATGACAGCTTAACTTCTCTATATCGCCTCGTTCACACATCAACAATACAAATACTCGTAGGTTTTACACCTCATATGAAAACGTTCATTACGGAGTTTATGTCCAACAGACTCACAGATCGTTTTACTGAGAGGAATTAAAATGCACCGCATGTAGTACGACACAATATTCAAAATAAAGTACAGTAAAACTTTGGTTGCAGGCCCAACTTTAACATGAAATCAATTAAACACAAGTTCATTATTTACACTAACATTTATTTAGCATTGTCTACGCACTCATTGACTAGGTGTTGTGGGGGAAACTTCTGAAGCAATAGGAGTCGGTAGAGATGCCAAATACATTCTGAAGAGCCCTCCTGTAGCTCCAGGTTTTAGTTCAGAGTGTAATAATCTACATTCTTCAATAGAGAGACTAAACAGCTGAGGACACTGAATCACATTTGTTGTCGCTTATGGCTCGGGGTCATCTCCACCCAGAGAAGGATGTGTTCCAGGTGTCCCACAACAATAACTATCTCTGACCGAGAGCTGCCCGCTCACAAACTGGTAACAACAACAACAACTTGCTAGAGCAGCCCCTCCTTGAGGGAGATGGCGGCGGCTCGAGGTTGGTCAGCTGCAGTCAGAGGGCGAAGGAGGAGGACATGCAGGGCCAATTATTCCCCAACAGGTGTCTCTGTCTTCACTTTGAGAAACACTTTGAATTTATTATTTATTTATTTCAAAATGTGAAATATTGCCAATATACTCACGGACCACTAGGGGACCATACTTTGAGAAACACTAATGTAGGGGACCTTTAGCCAATATTTAGTAACCTAAACAAGTAATATACACTCATAGGTCCTGCACTTCTAACCCTGTAACGTGTACAAAGATCCCAGGTGTGTCACTGCGGGACATCTTACCTGTTAGAGGTTAATATAATAATAATATCCTTTAACCAGTTTAGCCCTGAGCCTGTTTTTCAGGTCTCAGGCTCAAAAATGACTTGCCCAGAACAAATGACTATAACTTCACTTCTAAAAGGGATACATGAATAATCTTTTTTCTCAAAGCAATGATAAACCTGTGAGTTGGTTGTAGAAAAGTCAGAATCAATATAGATTTGTTTCTGCAGATACGATAAGTAATAAGGGTATTTTAACGTGAGTTCTGTGCTAAGTGTGTTAGCATTTTTTCGCTCAGGGCTAATTAAGACGCTTCTTGCGAGACGTGTGTTTTGTTTCGGTAAAAATGGTTCGTATCGTCAGTTAGCTGAGTTTCTTCCCGTTAAGTGGGTATGACATTAATAGGCTTTTAAATGTTAAGAAGCCCTGAGACACAGTTTTGTGAATAAAACCCACAGCCCCCTGTACCGGGGGCTCTCGGGCTTAACAGGTTAAAACAGGATGTAATGTTAGCATGAAACTCACCAGAGTGATGGCAGCGTCGTCCTCCGCTCCGATGTATCTGAACGTGATGCGGTGTTTCTCCATGTCCGCAAAATACTCCTTTGCCTCTTTGCTTGTACTTGTACCCAAACCTGGAACAGAGTTAAATATATATTTTTGTAAAAAGGACGGGACTTTAGACTTTATGCAAATGTCCCTGCACAAAGTGAATAGAGGTATATTAAATACTGGAGTCTCAAACCTTTGTAGTACTTTATGTGCCAGGTTTTAAAGTTCTCTGTGTTTTTCTTCCACTCGTCGAATTCAGGGATGCTGTAGAAAGCAAACTCCTGCTTGCTCTTGTTTACCTGCAGACACAAAGACAATAACAATTAGGGATACTCCGATCGATCGGCCGCCGAGAGGGAGAGGGAGAGAGGGGGAGAGAGAGAGGGGGAGAGAGAGAGGGAGAGAGACAGAGGGAGAGAGAGAGACAGAGGGAGAGGGAGAGAGAGAGAGGGGGGAGAGAGAGAGGGAGAGAGACAGAGGGAGAGAGAGAGACAGAGGGAGAGGGAGAGAGAGAGAGGGGGAGAGAGAGAGGGAGAGAGACAGAGGGAGAGAGAGAGAGGGAGAGAGACAGAGGGAGAGAGAGAGAGACAGAGGGAGAGGAGAGAGAGACAGAGGGAGAGAGAGAGAGGGAGAGAGACAGAGGGAGAGAGAGAGAGGGAGAGAGACAGAGGGAGAGAGAGAGAGACAGAGGGAGAGGGAGAGAGAGGGAGAGGAGAGAGAGAGAGAGGGAGAGAGAGGGAGAGAGACAGAGGGAGAGAGAGAGAGAGAGGCAGAGAGAGAGAGACAGTGTAGAGAGAGAGACAGAGGGAGAGAGAGGGAGAATGAGGGAGAGGGAGAGGGAGAGGGAGACAGAGAGAGAGACAGAGGGAGAGAGAGACAGAGAGACAGAGACAGAGAGACTGTGTGTGTGTGTGTGTGTGTGTGTGTGTGTGTGTGTGTGTGTGTGTGTGTGTGTGTGTGTGTGTGTGTGTGTGTGTGTGTGTGTGTGTGTGTGTGTGTGTGTGTGTGTGTGTGTGTGTGTGTGTGTGTGTGTGACCACTTTTGATAACTGGATCTTATTTAAGCGTGTCACACAAACGCCATTAGTCCCGCCCTCAGCCTCTGAACCTCTCTCATTGGTTCCTGAAGTGGCCCAGGTGCATTGTGGGTGTGTCTTACCTTGACGATGGGGGTGATGAACTCCTCCAGGAAGGTGTGTTTGAGCAGAGACGGCCAGTTGTGGTGGAAGAAGTTGATGAGCAGGCCTTTGATGTGGGAGCCATCTTGATCCTAGGAAAAGACAATATACATGCTTATTGTTTATTAAAGGTCTCCTATCAGGCTCTCTAGGCAATAGCACAGGTCTCAGATAAATACAAATACATGTCTATGAAGTGTTTTGCTCAAAATACCAAACAGATCATTCTAGCCATGCCTCACATCCCTCTATTTCACTTCCTGTTTCTAAAGTGCTGATTCGGGGTATAACGCTTTAGGAGGGGTCAGAGCTCATGCGGGACCCGGCAGCTACTGTCTAAACTAAATGCTGCCGTGATGAAACGCCATATCATGGATGATCAAGGATTCTCTCTGAAACAGTTTGGAGCTCAAAGGCTTTCTCTCTTGCCGGTTATACCACAAGGTGAGTTCCTTTTTACTTCCTGCTTCTTCACACACATGCTCTCCAGTACAGGTTAGCTCTGAGTGTTAGCGATGCTAACGTAAACACCGACCATATTACGTCCAAAACAGTCGGGCATTGTTTCTGAGAGCAACGTTTCTGATTGGGCCGTGGGTCCACATTTCAGATATTACGTCATATCGGACGCAAATCTGGATCAGCTCCGTTGTTCCCCGTTTTTAGAGATTTGGGTACGGAGGAAAAGAGAGAGGGTTTTATTTCCTGACGCTGCGTGAGTTCCCCGACACACCGGGGACACATGTTGATGTAGAGAATACATCACAAAGTGACTTTTGCATGATTGGTCCCCTTTAAATAATAATACATCTGTGTGAGTGTCTGGTTTTACCTGATCGGTCATAATCATGATGCGTCCGTAGCGTAAACTCCTCAGAGACTCGGGGTCTTCGTAGCTCTTTTTGTATTGGAGGCCCACGATTTTAATGATGTTGTTGATCTCAGCATTTTCCATGATCTGTAGAAAGGATAAAGGTAATTTAATGCAAGAAGATACTTTAAAAAATCTTCATTAAGCTGCATTTTCATATTAATTTGGAATCATTATCCCAAAGTAGATTATAACCACTTAAAATCCCATCTGGTCTATGCAGACTTTAGCAGATTTGAGAAGATTCTAAGCAAATTCTAAGCAGATTTTTGCAGATTTTGAGCAGATTTGAACAGATTTAAACAGATTTTAAGCAGATTTTAAGATGATTTGAGCAGATTTTTGCAGATTTTTGCAGATTTTGAGCAGATTTTAGTCATTTATTTGGCTAATAAAAACAGTTTGCATATGCCTCCTGAGTATAAAAGAGTTGAAGTGGAATATGAGAGTTTAAAGAGACGTAAAGACACTTAAAAAGACATTAAAACAACAAAAAAGAGCCAGACCACCTTCAGCCAATCAGTATCTTCTGCAACTTCTAAATTGAAGACTTTTCTTTTTCCTACTGCATTTAATAACTGAAATTACTTTTCATATCTAACACTGCAATCTCACTTTCATTCTTGTATTTTTCTCTATTTTAATTGAGTGTTTCTTAAGGTATTAAAATGCTACGGTGTTTCTGTTGGACTCAGTCATGATGCTTTTAAGGTTTTTTAAAGCACCTTGTTGTTGAAATCTGCTGCTATAAACAAACATGTCTAACAACTTTCCCCCTCACGTTCTCTAACACACGACGTATTATTGATCTGGTGTTGTACCTGTTTGTGCGTGGCCTCCCTCACGTTCAGGATCTTTCCTCTCAGCGGGAACACTCCGTATCGATCTCGTCCGATGACTCCCAGTCCGGAGACGGCCAGAGACTTGGCGGAGTCGCCCTCCGTCAGGATGAGGGTGCATTCAGCCGAGTGTTTCCCTCCTAAAGCAAGGTGAAGAGGAGGAGGTTGATCATCTAATTAATCTCCAGGCCCAGGAGTTCAACACTTTTAATCTCAATCAGATCCGATCAGATTTTGAAATCCCATTTTTCGGGATCCAGGATCAGACAAGTCGGCCAGATGTTGTCCCTGGAGTTCAAATCAATTCAGGATCAGCCTGATCCAGATTACGACTTTTCAAGATGACTAGATCCTGAATATCAGTGCTTTAATCCCACCGAGCGCCATCTAGTGGACATGAAAAATACTACAAGGAAGACAAGAGACCACATTGCAGAGACATCTATTGTCCGCAATTACTTCTGAAAGGTGATGACAGATGATGGACTTTTCTTTTGTTGAAGATATTTTTTCTTTAATCTAAATTACATTTGTAATTGACAATCTTTGTTGTGATACTTCCATGAGCAGAAACATTTATGTCATCAACATTTGGTTGAAAACAAAATAGGCCACAAACGTGAGCAAACATGAATGTATTTCCCATGAAGGCTAAACATGGTGTATTATTTCAGTTAACAAACTTTGCCATCTAATTTATATTGAAACATATTTTTAAATAAATGGTACAGTACATGTTGCTCTGGAAATCCACCCCTCTGGTGGGATCAGGATAATCCAGTTTTTTGGGATCAAACTGATTTGATCCAGATTAAAGCTTGTGTAATGGCAATTCCCTGTTCCTATGTCCTATATATTTTTGCCATTACTTCACAGAAGGGCTGAAGAGTGATCCAGACGCAGACACATAGAGATGACTTTCCGGTCCTTTGTTGCAGTTTATAATGAGGTTTATTCAGCGTTTACATACCAGGGGTTAATTGTACAGTTCTAGTTGTTGTGATGAGCATCTGCCGGGCTGGTGGAATCGGTATGCTCTCTCCTTCTGTGTCCTTCCTCTCCTGTCACCTATGACCTCTTTATATACACCCGGTGCAGCTAAACCCCGCCACCAAGTGTTCAAAAATAATATTGCACTATACATATAACTTAAATAAACTGACACACCAACAACACCCATAAAATGGCTCCTACAGCTTGGATTGGATTTCCTGATCAAAGTGATCCTAATCCTGTTTTTTGGTTTTGAACTCCCCAAAATCCAAATCTGATCTGATCAGATAGGGATTACAAGTGTTGAACTCCTGGGCCCAAGAGTTCAAAACTTTTAATCCCTATCTGATCAGATCAGATTGATCTTTTGGGGAGTTCAAAACCAAAAAACAGGATTAGGATCACTTTGATATCCGATCAGATCAGGAAATCCAATCCAAGCTTTAATCTGGATCAAATCTTCAAAACGGGTTCAAACCGACAACACAGGATTGGGATCAATTTGATCCCAAAAAACTGGATTATCCTGATCCCACCAGAGGGGTGGATCTCCAGTGGATTACAGAGCAACATGTACTGTACCATTTATTTTAAATATGTTTCAATTTAAATTAGATGGCAAAGTTTGTTAACTGAAATAATACACCATTTTTAGCCTTTATGGGAAATACATTTTATTTTTCCATTTTTTGCTCACGTTTGTGGCCTATTTTGGTTTCAACCAAATGTTGACATAAATGTTTATGCTCATGAAAGTATCACAACAAAGATTGTCAATCACAAATGTAATTTAGATTAAAGAAAAAATATCTTCAACAAAAAAAAAAATCCATCATCACCTTTCAAAAGTAATTGCGGACAATAGATGTCTCTGCAATGTGGTCTCTTCCTTGTATTATTTTTCATGTCCACTAGATGGCGCTCGGTAGGATTAAAACACTGATATTCAGGATCTAGTCATCTTGAAAAATCGTAATCTGGATCAGGGTGATCCTGAATTGCTTTGAACTCCAGGGACAAAATCTGGCCGATTTGTCTGATCCTGGATCACAAAAAATGGGATTTCAAAATCTGATCGGATCTGATTGAGATTAAAAGCTTTGAACTCTTGGGCCCAGGGCCCTGGAGATTAGGGATAACTGGGGTTTGTTCTGTTAGGGTCCACACTCCATGGAACAACCATCAGGAGGAGACAGACTGAAGATCTTTTTTAAAAACACACTTTATGAATTTGATTTTGCAGGATTTGTGGCTTTATTTCACAAAACCAGGTTTTTAAGAGGCAACAACTACAGCTTTGCAGACAACTTCCACACATTAGTAAATCTAATCTGAATGTGAAACGATCCGACAGTGAACTCACCGGCGTCGTTGGCGTCGTCCAGTTTTGGGATTCCTTTGATCTTGCTGTACTTCACAGAGGAGCATTTCTTATTGAGCTGCGTCTGAGCTTTGAACTTCACCCAGTTCAAGATGCTCTCCACGATCCCACAGTTAGTCGCCTGCAGGGAAACAAACACGTGGGATATTATATTTGAACTGTACGATGTATTATTTTATTGACCTGTACTTAAATCATGTTTTGTAATCGTTTGTTTGATAGAGATGATGCAGTGTTTGTTGATTGTTATGAACCTGCCTCAGGACTGCAGATGGAAATTATCTATTAGCTATAATCTAGCATAATTCATCTCTTCTCTTTTCTGAGATGAATGTATTTGTATGCATGGTCCTTGTTGAAATAAATACATAATAATAGGTGGCACACAGTCAAATAAAATGTTAAATAATATACTTTTTTAATATTTTCATTTGGGTTCATGAAAATAATTTCATTGTTAAAGTGATTGTTTGTTGCCACTGTTGTTACGAATAATCGCCACAAGGTGTCAGTGTTGTTACACAAACAGTGCTTGTTGAAGGTGACGTGAAGTCTCGCGAGAGCACGTGAGAGAACGAGAGTTTGTGCAGAGAAACAAGTGTAGTTCGTTGAATGTGGATGTGGAGGTGATTTTCTGTATTGTTCATAAAACTTAAAACATTAATATGATGATATTGAAGTGACTTATTTTGTAGATATTGATTGTTTTATCTTAATGTGTGCATATATATATATACATACATGTGTCTGTTGATTGTGTATATAGGATATACATATTTTATACATATTTTTATACAGTGGCGAACCGTGTCTATCACAACTGGACCTTCTGTAGACACACACACCCATATGATTGGTTGATCAAACTGTCAGTCCAAACGTACGCTCTCATTCAGTGCAACGACCCAGACACCCAGAACAAGATCTGATTGGTTGCTTTCTTTTCTAACACAAAACCACTGAAATGCGTAGCATGGTCCGAGAAGGACAAACACATCAACGTAACACAGATACCATTCTCATTTATTCATTTTATATAATTAAATCGATTTTTTGTTTGCTTTATCTGAGTGTTCACGGGTATTCTCTGAATACCTTGAAGGCCCTGACGGTTCACCACTGATATATGTATCAGAGTTCCCGTTAGCCGGTAATTACCGGACTACGACCGGTAAAATATGCTGAAGACCGGCAAATCTAAATCTCTCCGGTCAAAGTGTCCGTTCAAAAATAATTTCCGTTTAGCGCAATACCGCTTCAGTTGCGCTTCAGTTGCGCCACTTATGTGACAGACAAGAAGAGTATGTGACAGACAAGAATAGTCAATTATAATGTCTAACACGTAATGTGGAGAAAGAGATGTCCTGTATGGGTTGATTGTGCGTTGATCTGTTGGTAATGCCTCGGGGTTCCGGTGGGCATGTAAACAAATGCATAATGCTGTGCTATACTTTGCGGCCTCACCCGGTTGCATAGCAACACTTATTGTTTAGGTGTCTTTTAATAAGCAGGTAGTCCTATCATTAGCTAGAACTAGCTGGATCTGATCGATATGGACATAAACGAGAGTCTAATCTGACGGGAGAGAGAGATCAGCTGCTGCTGACGAGTCGACACGCAGCTCTGCATAATCACAGAACAAAACACACTTCAGGTTAGAATATCACACGTAGCTATTTTAATGACCTCTCAAACTACCGTAACTAGTTATAGATATGTTTAGTTTTACTGTCGGGTCACTCTGGATCCGCGAGCTGCATGATACTGACGGGCTGTCAGGAGAGGGAGAGAGCGCTCCGTTTATTATTCCCGTGTTATTATAAATTACTGAACACTTTTGAATAATGTAGTTAATCTACTATAATTAGTTTGTTTAATATCAAATCATATCAATTTGTTTTAAAGCACAATAAATAACAAAGAAGACCTTTGACCGGCTCTTTTCTCATTTTGTCCGGAAGATTTAAACTTTAACGGACATGTTGACCGGAGAAAACATATTCTAACGGGAACTCTGATCTGTATACTGTATAATTTTACATTCGGGATTGTTGGAAACGTCATTTCGATCTCTCGGTCTGTTCGCACAAACTGAGTAAGATTGACATTAAAGTTGACTTTGATTACATGTGTAGCATTGGAGTGAGCCTGTGTGACAAAAACACACACACAGATCCTTAAAACCACTGATAACCCACAAGATTTACATTTACAAGAGCTGCACGGTTTTTAAAACATAAAACTAATTGGAGGTGTTGATAATGTATCGTTGCTATGGAGAAAGAAGATCCTGGTGTGATTTCTGAAGACCTGTAGCAAACAAGGATTTGATCTCAAGATGTTGATTATGATGTATAGCTTCTGATATCTCCGCAGCTCCACAAGGCTTCATTCAGAATAATATTTCAACACAAATGTAGCCTTTAAAATCTGATCTGAATAACCCACTCGTCCATTTTGCAATTTAGCCTCCACACTTACATCACATGCAGGAACTTTAGCTTCAAATAAGCTCAACCTTGCTGTACAAATGTGCGTTGTTTGTTTTTGTTTTAATGGCCAAGGTGCAGCCTAAGATGGGTTAGGGCAGTGTTTTTCAAAGTGGGGGCCCCGACGCCCCGGGGGGCCGCCAGGGGGCGCCAGGGGGGTCCACGCAACATTAGAGGGAAAGGGGGATTTTTTTTAAAAGTACTTTTTCTTTTTAGATGTTATTAATAACTGCATATCTATCAATCTATGTGTCCTTTGATGCCAATCTTTTCATATTCTTTGTTTTTGAATCACACGACGCCCTTCAAGCCAATCAGAATCGAGCTGCCGCTACTGAGAGTGAAAATCTGCTCAGCTTTTGGAGCTAGTGAATGTTTCGCTCTGCAGCTGGATGAGAGCACGGATGCAGCAAATGTCGCAGAATTGTTTGCATACATCAGATTTATTTCAGAAGACAACTTTGTTGAGGAAATATTATTTTGCAAAGCATTGAAAGGTAGAACCACAGGAAGAGACATTTCCAAGTTTTACATCATCTCAAACGGACTTGACTGGTCTCGTTGTGTGGGTGTTAATATTACTGTTGAATATTATATATAATATTATTAAGGCATAAAGAGCTTTCAAAAATGCTAAAAAATACATGTTAATTGTTCATATTACTGTTCAAAATTATAAAATATTATAAAGACAGAAATCACTTTAAAAATGCTTTAAAAATATGTTTACTGTTGATATTACTGTTGAAGACACAATCAATGTAATGAATGACAAACAAAAGATGAATACACTTTTTTTTTAGAAGAATAACTGATTATTAATTATGAATACCAATAAATATTAAGAACACGTATTAAGCTGTATGATTAATGTGTCATATTTTCCATCATAATGTACAAAAAAAAATGGCAACAGGGGGGTCCCCGCCAGAGGATAATGCTATATGGGGTCCTTGGCATGGCAGGGTTAGGGAACCCCTGGGTTAGGGTGTGTATGAGACTTTGCAGGACTATTTTACACAACATAAACAGAGTGAGGTGTTTCCTTACAGCTTTGACGAACTTCTCCGACATGACGCATTTGGACCCGAAGCTTTTGGTTTGCAGCGTCATGTTCTCCTTCGTCTGAGAGTCGAAGGACGGGTTCTCGATCAGCGCGTTCACAAACACCCAGATGTGATTCTTCACCTGAGGCACAAATAAAAAGGTTAATTCAATCCAATAAAACCCCTACAGTGAACTGAAAATAGTGAACGTCCTCTTCCAATCTCAGAGTAGCATGCTAACAAAGGTGTCCCAACTGTAGCTGTGAACATGACAGGATGTGTGATTACCTAGAAGAGCATCAGGACTGTTTGAGGCAGATGAGAGCTATGTGATTAACATGAGGATTCAGCCTCTATGGAGAGAGACATCAAGCATGCTCATTTCTGACGTGGAGCTAATCTGAAGTAAACATTGAATACTGCTTTCTACTCCTCCATCTTGTGACTGTGTAACTCCCTCTCTTGGATATCAGCATGTGAAGGACACTGTTCAGGAACTAGTTGATGCTCTGTATGTGATGACTCCTTCCATTCTGGAGAGGATCACAGACACATGGATCCTGAGGTTGAAGCTCAAGCTGGAGACCAGGGATTATTAACATTTTAGTATTCAGAAAAAGCCGGAATTTTGAGATTTTGAATAAAAGTCATGATTTTGAGAAAAATTCATGACTTTGAGATTTTGAAAAAAAAGTCCTAATTTTGAGGAAAAAGTCAGAATTTAGAGATAAAAATCATAATTTTGAGAAAAAGTAATAATTTAGATAAAAAGTCCGAATTTTGAGAAAATATCATAATTTTGAGAAAAGGTCAGAATTTTTGGATTTTGAGAAAAAAGTCAGAATTTTGAGAGAAAACTCAGTATTTTGTTCATGGCAGGATGTATGATTACAAGAACCGGCATTCCTCCATCTTGTGACTGTGTAACTCCCTCTCTTGATATCAGCATGTGAAGGACACTGTTCAGGAACTAGTTGATGCTCTGTATGTGATGACTCCTTCCATTCTGGAGAGGATCACAGATACACGGATCCTGAGGCTGAAGCTCAAGCCGGGGACGGGGGATATTTTTTAAACAGTTCTTTAATCGTACCTGGAAAGGCTTCACCGTGACGCCCGCTTTGTTCTTCTTCTTCACCACTTCAATCAGTTTGTGGACGATCTGATCCACAACATAATCGATGTGTCTGCCGCCCTGGAATAAGAAATTCAAATGTTAAATAGCTTTATTGGCACGACCATAATGACAAAGCATTGTACTTATAATGACAATTATAACAGGACAGGATTTCATAGTTAAAAGTAGGCTTATAGTAAGGGCTGGATCAGGCTTGCAATGAAAGTCCTCTCGGTGCTTTATTTTATAGTAATTTCATTTTTATATTGTTTTTATATTTATTTTAAATAATAATTTAATTTCAAATTATTTTATTTATTTTATTTAATACATTTTTTGTAATTTTATTTATTTTGAATAATGTAATTTCAATTAATTTCCAATAATAATTGTTCTTTTCATACGATTTAGTTTAATTGATCTATAATGATACATAAATGTACATTATCATTTTTATTGTATTCTATTCATATCAAATAAATTAGCTATAAAAAATAAATGGATTTGATTTTCAAAATATATATATCTGGAATCTTCAGAGTGTGTTCCCAGTAGTCTCTATAGTGTGTGTTCCCAGTAGTCTCTATAGTGTGTGTTCCCAGTAGTCTCTATAGTGTGTGTTCCCAGTAGTCTCTATAGTGTGTGTTCCCAGTAGTCTCTATAGTGTGTGTTCCCAGTAGTCTCTATAGTGTGTGTTCCCAGTAGTCTTCAGAGTGTGTTCCCAGTAGTCCTCAGAGTGTGTGTGTTCCCAGTAGTCTTCAGAGTGTGTTCCCAGTAGTCCTCAGAGTGTGTTCCCAGTAGTCTTCAGAGTGTGTGTGTTCCCAGTAGTCTTCAGAGTGTGTGTGTTCCCAGTAGTCTTCAGAGTGTGTGTGTTCCCAGTAGTCCTCAGAGTGTGTTCCCAGTAGTCTTCAGAGTGTGTGTGTTCCCAGTAGTCCTCAGAGTGTGTGTGTTCCCAGTAGTCCTCAGAGTGTGTGTGTTCCCAGTAGTCTTCAGAGTGTGTGTGTTCCCAGTAGTCTTCAGAGTGTGTGTGTTCCCAGTAGTCCTCAGAGTGTGTTCCCAGTAGTCTTCAGAGTGTGTGTGTTCCCAGTAGTCCTCAGAGTGTGTGTGTTCCCAGTAGTCTTCAGAGTGTGTTCCCAGTAGTCTTCAGAGTGTGTGTGTTCCCAGTAGTCCTCAGAGTGTGTGTGTTCCCAGTAGTCCTCAGAGTGTGTGTGTTCCCAGTAGTCTTCAGAGTGTGTGTGTTCCCAGTAGTCTTCAGAGTGTGTGTGTTCCCAGTAGTCCTCAGAGTGTGTGTGTTCCCAGTAGTCTTCAGAGTGTGTTCCCAGTAGTCTTCAGAGTGTGTGTGTTCCCAGTAGTCTTCAGAGTGTGTTCCCAGTACCTTGGTGGTGGCGATGCAGTTGACGAAGCCGATCTGCTGGAATCCTTTTTCGCTGAGCGTGAGACAAACCTCCCAGCGATCGTTCACCTTCTCGTTCACGACCTTCAGAGCAACGCCCATCTCGTCCACTTTGTCCTTCACGTACAGATCCACGTAGCTGCGGAAACCAGTGATCTACACACACACACACACACACACACACACACACACACACACACACACACACACACACACACACACACACACACACACACACACACACACACACACACACACACACACACACACACACACACACACACACACACACACACACACACACACACACACACACACACACACACACCACACACACACACACACACACACACACACACACACACACACACACACACGCGTAAATGTACGGACCACAGCTGCAGAGAAATTGTCATAAAAATCAATAGATATTTTTTTGTTGTTGCAATAAATACAAATAAAATGCATCAATTCGTTGATAAAAATAAGCAAATATATCAAAAATAATCCATGCGATGTCTGATATGACGGAGTGCAGCTGGTATATACATCTTCATTGTTATAAATGTTAAAACTAAAAGACACTAAAACCGGCCCGTCCACACTACAGCTTCAAAAACGGTTTCCAACGCGTCTGCCCATTCACTTTGAATGGAGTGACGTCACCCCATTCACTTTGAATGGAGTGACGTCACCCCATTCACTTTGAATGGAGTGACGTCACTTTTCGCCGAACTGCATTGTGGGAAGCAGAGCGGAGCTTTCCTGGCGTTTCAGGCTGCAAAAGTTGAGCAATGTTCAACTTTTGAAGCTTCTGAAGCTTTCGGTGGAAGCATCAGCCAATCAAATCATATGCCAGTACAAGCTCTAGCCAATCAAACCGCTGCTTGTGTGTCAGGGGCGGAAGATTCATGTGATTGGTTGTTGGTCGCGTTGCTCGAATAAAATCCCCAAGCTTCAGACACGCCCAGCTCCAAGCTTTTTTTGAAGCTGTAGTGTGGGCGGGCCGTAAAGGGATATCTCTAACCATGTGGACAATTATGCAAAACCACAAACATGCAGATAACTGGAAGCATATCCCTGTATCTTAACAACTAAATATTAATTTATGCATTTAATATAGTGTGTAATTATTCTGTAACGACCTCTGGAGCCGAACTTCATGACTATTATAACACATCAATTAAATACAACAGAATCAACTTTTTGTCTCTATTGCAAAAGGAGCGATTTCAAATTCATTGTGGTTTAATTTCTATGTTGTGGATAAGAGTTGTTCAGGTTACAACCAACAGAATAACTGAACCAAATAAAGCTGTTTTAGGGTGACTACAAAAGGGGCGCCCAATACGTTGATCGCAAAGGTAGTGTGGGTAGATCCCGTGGCATTGAGGTGTCAGAGTTTGACAAACGCTTTCAAGACTTTGCTTTACTCGAACCAGTCGCTAAATGTATGTGCGACCCATTTCGGGAAGATGTTGAGGTTGATTCACTCGCATCAAAAATTGCAACGCTGCTTCACCTGAACTCGTCAGTGTGAAGGAAACTTCTGTGTTGCAATGTTGAGGTGGAATGAAGGAGTCTGGATCGTCGTTAGCCACAGCACTGAGAGTTTATTTAAGCGTACATTTAACACAGCCGGGGAGATTACTTCGTTTCACACATTTCTGTGCAGCCACCAAGCCATCTCTGACACAAAGAAGACACAGCACGCATCCACATGAGAAGAGGCGGAGCTATCAGAAACCCGCGTTTTACCTAATCAATAGCAGATGTGAGACAATAATCTGTTTGTCTCGCAAACTGCATGGAGACAGGAACCCTCATTTTGACTTGGTCCTTTTAAGCTTCCATGCTGAAACAGTGTGGGCCCCCCTGCTCTACAAGATCTGTCCAGGGACTATAGATGCATGAGTGATGTGTAATAATGTGCACTGTCCCTGCTAAATGAAGTGATATAAAACAGTGTTAGCCATTGTAAGATAAACAATACAATTCCCATGGACAGAAATCGCTGAATAAGAAATGACTTTTTCTGCTTATCATGAGAAGACCTAAATTACAGAACAACCTGTCAAGATTCCTGAGCATTTACTCCATCATAACGATATTAAATCCACACAACTACCAGCGCTCAAAATCAAATACAAGTCAACCCTCAGCACACACTTTGAACAAAGAAACAGCAGGAAGACTTACGGGCAGCTTCTTCCCGTTGAGCGTGACCTTGATGCCCCGGCAGGACCCTGCGATGTCGTACGCTCGGCGCGTCAGAAGAGCCACGATGTCTTTGTCCAGTTTCTCCATCTGGAACTTGGACAGGTCGGGCTGGAACGTCACGCACGTGAAGTCGTCTCCGTCGAAGAACTTGATCTTAGGCTCCGAGGTTTTAGACATGTTGTTCAGCCACGTCTGACCAGGGGAAACAAGACAACATGGTAACACACACACACACACACACACACACACACACACACACACACACACACACACACACACACACACACACACACACACACACACACACACACACACACACACACACACACACACACACACACACACACACACACACACACACACACACACACACACACACACACACACACACACACACACACACACACACACACCACACACACACACACACACACACACACACACACACACACACACACACACACACACACACACACACACACACACACACACACACACACACAATCCGATTATTGAGATTTTGAGAAAAAGTAATAATTTTGAGAAAAAGGTCAGAATTTTTGAGATTTTGAGAAAAAGTCAGAATTTTGAGAGAAACTCAGGATTTTGTTCATGGCAGGATGTATGAGTAGTACATAGAATAACCGGCATTCCTCCATCTTGTGACTGTGTAACTCCCTCTCTTGGATATCAGCATGTGAAGGACACTGTTCAGGAACTACTTGATGCTCTGTATGTGATGACTACTTCCATTCTGGAGAGGATCACAGATACATGGATCCTGAGGTTCAAGCTCAAGCCGGGGACGGGTGAGATTTTTCTAACAACATCCATTCAATTATATTGTATACAGGTCATAGAGTCCTGTTGTGAACTCTGGAAATGTTGAATACCCCAAAGTTTAACGATAGAAATGTATAGTACGAGTTCCCAGAACATAGAAACGCCGGAAGCTAACTTGCATATGTTCGGTAATTTAGCACAATTAGCACAAGTTGCGTTAATTAGCATTATAGCTCATGTTGACAGGATCCAAGAAAACTGTTTATACAAGGAAGTGGGCATATTTCTACCCTTGTTTGGTTGATATTGGTTAATTTTTAGTACGTTTTAGGTGACTGGATCATTTGGATTGCACATATGGCTAATTTATTTGAGCATAAATTGACTACAGTAGAAGCAATACTTTTTTATCTTGTGCTCTCGTCTCAACGCTGCTCGCGGTGGCCATATCAGCCAATTGAGAGTAGAAATATGGCCACTTACTTTCTGGTTAAAACTGCTATTGTTGATGCTGAAAATGTCAGAAATGGACTCAATAACATCCAAAACCAGAACAAATTTGACCAAAAAGGCCAATAGTTTTAGCTGTTGTCTACATAGTGTATGATGCTAATTCAGGGTATCTGCAGGAATCCTGAAATACATTTGAAGACCTTTTTTAAGACCCTTCCCATACATGTTAAGACCTCATCTCCACTTGGGGTTCTAACCGGTTACCTTGGCGACACACTTGACCTCACGTTCACTATATACAGTATTGATTGTCCTTCCTCCTTATCGTCCAACCATTTGGACGCAGACTTGCATTTCCCCATAACGATGTTGCTTAGCAACCGGCGTAAACGGAGCGCTATCAAGCAGTGAGCGTGCGATGTCCTGTTCAGATGACGTCAAACCCAACGGGATGCCATCAATAAACTACACAGAATCACACTACACACCTACGCCATGACTACATTCAGGCACACTGTAGAACACAACCTCTCTGGACCATTCATATACTTATTGAAAACAAGCTACAACATGTAACACCTTGGAAAATGCCCTTTAATACTTTTTAATAGCCTTCATTTTCGCTAAATTGATTATTCAACTTGTAATACTTTTTAGGACCCCGCGGACCCCCTGTAAGTATTGCTTATTAATGCAACGTATGCTTATACATTTCTAACATTAAACTTTAGGGTACTCAACCTTTAAGTAGACTAGGATGCATAATAGTGCATTTATTGCCTAAAATGTCCATGATTTAAACACCCGGTGACTTTCAATAATACCCAGAACCACAAAGAGTGATAATGTACTGATCCTTACCTCAGATAAGACCACATGTCAAAGCCCTATAACACAGTAATTATTACTTTATTCAAAGATTGTATTGGATTAGATTGACTTTAAACATCCCAAATTAGCAGCAGGAAAAGTAGTTATTACACATTAATTAACCAAAATGATTCTAAAGTGTTCAATTAGTGATGAACTATGAATGCAATTAAAGTTATTTTACACCCACAGCAATTAATGTGCAGTGACATTTTTGTTTATTTGACCAGCTGTTGACTTTAAGACTTAACAGCTTATTTACGTATCGGTCATTTACAGAAAAGATGTCGTACAGAAGGACTTACTCAGCTATGGATGACGACTGAACACAAGAACATATCTCTCTTTCTCCTGTGTGTGGATGAAATCAACGATTATGAGAAAAAACATCGTATTCTTTACCTAAAAATCAGCATTTTCTTTTACTTTATTGACTCTGAACAGCTGAGAAACGTATATTAATGTTCGCTGGTGCCTCTATATGTGAGGGATAATGTGCAGCGACGCGGTCATTATGGGGAACACCGACAGGCTGATCAGGAGCCCGAAGCATGCAGTTTGCTTTTCAGCCCAACTGTACAGTTAAATCGACCGGACTTCTTTCTGCAGATGTGAGCGTCCTTAACAACGGTCAATAAGTCCTTGACAGCGTCTGTTCTGGATTAACAACGTGTCACGTGTTCTGAATTGACCAATCAGAATCGAGTATTCAACTAAACCATGTAATAATAATTTATAAAGCCTGATAGATATATATATGCTTTATTGATGCCCATGCTGACCTGTTTGAAGCTGTGCCGGTACTCTTTGCAGGCCGTCTCCACAGTGAATTTGGTGCTGAAGATGTTGCAGAGTTTAGCTCCGTATCCGTTTCTTCCACCTGCGGAGAAACGTATTATTATTCCCCTTCTTGAACACACCTTAGAGGTCCCCTATTATACTGTGTCTCATCAATATATCACAGGTCTCAGATATATACAGAGCCTGTCTCTGATTGGCTAGAACACCAGATCATTGCAGCATTACCCATAATCCCCTCTGTTTCAGCCCTGTTTCCAAAGTGCTGATTCTCTGTCTGTTACTTTAGATGAAAATAAGGAGCCCCTCCCCACGCCCCTCTGAGAGACATGTGGTGACAAAGAACTCAATGGAGCTCTAGGAGGAGATTCAGGGGATAAGGTGGGGGGGGGTTACCTTGGTTGCTGATTGGCTACACAAGACAAAACATCGTTATGACATCATAAAGTGGCCAAAATCTGATCAGCTCATTTTCAGAGAGGTTTTTATAGAAATGGATCAAAAAGAGAGAGAATCTTTGTTCCTGAAACTTTCAGAGTCTCTTTCCACAGAGGGGACACATGTTGATGTAGAAGAGACATGAAGAAGAGGGGACACATGTTGATGTAGAAGAGACATGAAGAAGAGGGGACACATGTTGATGTAGAAGAGACATGAAGAAGAGGGGACACATGTTGATGTAGAAGAGACATGAAGAAGAGGGGACACAGGTTGATGTAGAAGAGACAGGAAGAAGAGGGGACACATGTTGATTGTAGAAGAGAACATGGAAGAAGAGGGGACACATGTTGATGTAGAAGAGACATGAAGAAGAGGGGACACCATGTTGATGTAGAAGAGACATGAAGAAGAGGGGACACATGTTGATGAAGAAGAGACATGAAGAAGAGGGGAAACATGTTGATGTTAGAAGAGACATGAAAGAAGAGGGGGACACATGTTGATGTAGAAGAGACATGCAGAAGACGGGGGACAATGTTCGATGTAGAAGAGACATGAAGACGAGGGGACACCATGTTGATGTAGAAGAGACATGAAGAAGAGGGGACACATGTTGATGTAGAAGAGACATGGAAGAAGAGGGGACACACATGAAGAAGAGGGGGACACATGTTGATGTAGAAGAGACACGAAGAAGAGGGGACACATGTTGATGTAGAAGAGACACGAAGAAGAGGGGACACATGTTGATGTAGAAGAGACATGAAGAAGAGGTGGACACATGTTGATGTAGAAGAGACATGAAGAAGAGGGGACACATGTTGATGTAGAAGAGACATGAAGAAGAGAGGACACATGTTGATGTAGAAGAGACATGAAGAAGAGGGACACATGTTGATGTAGAAGAGGACATGAAGAAGAGGGGACACATGTTGATGTAGAAGAGACATGAAGAAGAGGGGACACATGTTGATGTAGAAGAGACATGAAGAAGAGGGGGACACATGTTGATGTAGAAGAGACATGAAGAAGAGGGGACACATGTTGATGTAGAAGAGACATGAAGAAGAGGGGACACATGTTGATGAAGAAGAGACATGAAGAAGAGGGGACACATGTTGATGTAGAAGAGACATGAAGAAGAGGGGACACATGTTGATGTAGAAGAGACATGAAGAAGAGGGGACACATGTTGATGTAGAAGAGACATGAAGAAGAGGGGACACATGTTGATGTAGAAGAGACATGGAGAAGAGGGGACACATGTTGATGTAGAAGAGACATGAAGAAGAGGGGACACATGTTGATGTAGAAGAGACATGAGAAGAGGGGACACATGTTGATGTAGAAGAGACATGGAGAAGAGGGGACACATGTTGATGAAGAAGAGACATGAAGAAGAGGGGACACATGTTGATGTAGAAGAGACATGGAGAAGGGGATTTTGCACGATAGGTGACCTTTAATAAACCCAGGTACAGACGTCAAGGTGTCTTCTTCCTCTCCTTACCTGTGACCTTCTTCTCGTCGTCGTCGTAGTTGCTGGAGGTGAGTAATTGTCCGAAGATGAGCGCAGGAACGTACATCTTCTCGTCTTTGTGCTCCACCACCGGGATCCCCTTACCGTTGTTCCACACCGAGATGGTGTTGGACTCACTGGAGGAGAAGGAGCAGGAAGAAAGTCTCATTTTAGTAGTTTAGCAGAAATGCATCACAACGTAGAGCAGGGGTTCTCAAAGTGCGGCCCGCGGGCCAATGGCGGCCCTCGGAAATGTTTCTGGCGGCCCGCGATAGTTAATGTGACACGCTGAAATACATGCGTTATATTTTAATCCTCCATGGTTCGTGTCTAGTAAGAATTAGAATGGAATTTAAGAATGGTAAAACTGCGCCCCCTGGGCTGTCATTCCTAAATTATGAATGACAGCTTGTGGAAAGTTTGCTAGACTACTGGTTGCATGGCAACTAGGCATCTCGCGAGTTGCGGTAATTGGTTAGTACAATAAAGAAAGGATTTGTTTTGGAATTATTTTGTGTTCCGTTTTTTCTTCGGCGGCCCTCAATCCAATATTGGGTACCTTTGGCCTCACTCATCAAAACGTTGAGAACCCCTGACGTAGAGGGAATATGAAGTAAAACATTCTGTCCTTAAAATCATTAATTATTGTGATTTTTAAAGTTATTTAAATATCGATAAAAATAATATGGGTTATCATTTTGGCAATAATCATTAAGCCTTAGTTTGTGAATTAAATTGTAAATGTAAGGTTCAGAATTTATTCTGATGGAAATGGGGTTTTCTGACAGTTGCTCAATTTTAGAAATAAAAACATTTTAAAATAAATAACCAATATGCAAATAGAAATGAACAAATTAGCAAAAATCTGGCATTCATCATCTCTTCTCTTATTGAGAATGTAATGTATTTTAGTGCATGGAAAATAAATATGGATATGAACATAATTTAAAGGTCTCCTATCAGGCTGTCTGTAGGCAATCGCAGAGGTCTCAGATAAATACAAAAACATGTCTATGAAGTGTTTTGCTCCAAACACCAAACAGATCATTCTAGCCACGCCTCATATCCCTCTATTTCACTTCCTGTTTCTAAAGTGCTGATTCGGGGTATAAAGCTTTAGGAGGGGGCGGAGCTTATGCGGGACCCGGCAGCTACTGTCTAAACTAAATGCTGCCGTGATGAAACGCCATATCATGGATTATCAAGGATTCTCTCTGAAACAGTTTGGAGCTCAAAGGCTTTCTCTCTTGCCGGTTATACCACAAGGTGAGTTCCTTTTTACTTCCTGCTTCTTCACACACATGCTCTCCAGTACAGGTTAGCTCTGAGTGTTAGCGATGCTAATGTAAACACCGACCATATTACGTCCAAAACAGTCGGCCATTGTTTCTGATAGCAACGTTTCTGATTGGGCCGTGGGTCCACATTTCAGATATTACGTCATATCGGACGCAAATCTGGATCAGCTCCGTTGTTCCCCGTTTTTAGAGATTTGGGTACGGAGGAAAAGAGAGAGGGTTTTATTTCCTGACGCTGCGTGAGTTCCCTGACACACCGGGGACACATGGTGATGTAGAGAAGACATCACAAAGTGACTTTTGCACGATAGGTCCCCTTTAATGTTTTAATTGCACACTTCATATATTTTTTTATGTTCATATTGATTGTTTGTGTGATCTTGTATCGGTAATTGTACTTCACATTATAGTCGTTTCTATTAGTTTTATCCTTTTATTCCACGTTGTTAGTTCCATTTATTTTGATTGTAAACATTTTGTTGATTATATTTAAACTTTTTATAGGAAATTCTTACTTTAACTTCCAATAGACGAAGACTTCTAAAAAAGCAGGTAATAGGGCAAGGAATAAATACTTTTGAATCTAAGTGTGTGGGATATACAGTATGTTCACAGTACTCTTTATGGTAACTATAATATATATACTCACGCGTCAATGGTGATCTTAATGCCCGTCATGTTCTTGTCTCTCTGTTTGTTGTCTGCTGCGTTGACTGTCAACAAAAACAATAAATACAAATCAACCACAGATCATTGAGGTGACGTCAGATTATGCAGGGATTTTAGCCTCTGCAGACCATTTACATGCACTAAAACCTGTATACACACTACAGGAGAAAAAGTCAGAATTTTGAGAAAAAGTCAGGATTTTGAGAAAAAGTCAGAATTTTGAGAAAAAGTCAGGATTTTGAGAAAAAGTCAGAATTTTAAAGGTGGGTAGGTACGTTTCAGAAACCGGCTCGAGTGCACTAAAATTTGAAAGTACACAACCGAAAAGAATCCGCCCCTTCCTTCAGACTTCCTTACAGAGCACCTCCTCCAACACACATGGACGTGCAATGCACGCCCAATGAGGGCACGAGATACATTTGTCTTCCACAGATGACATTTTTTTATGAATTTCTTGTCAAAGCACTTCAGATATTCATTGCTATCGGGATGTTAAGAGCATTCCATGGAATATAACAAAAAGTGTATCTCGAGCCGGTTTCTGAAACTTTAAGATTTTGAGAAAAAGTCAGAATTTTAAGATTTTGAGAAAAGATTAGTCCAGGAATTTGAGAGA